AACGTAAGTTTGAAAATAAATGAAAAGTAATATATTAAATAAGTAACACCTTTACTAATATAATTTCAAATAAATAAAAATAACATGACAACCAATAATTATAAACAGTACTTTTTAGAAGAAAAAAAACTTTTTTTAAAAAATAAAGTTATTTTTCTTTTGAATATAATATCTGAAAACACTTTTAAGTAAAATGAGATTATTTGGATGTAAAAAAAAAATTATACATAAAATTACAAAAAAATGAACGTAAAAACAAAATCATGTTAATCACTTTACTTTAAAAAATAAGTTTTTCATCAATTATTGTCAAGACATTAATCTACTAACATGGAATTAAAAAAATTGAAATAAATTTTAGAGAAATATAAAATATAAATCATTAATATATCCTCACATAATATTCTAAATTCTTGAGTTAAATTGATTATTTTACATGAGATGTACTTTTCAAATCCACTCTTATATGTAATTAATGGATGTATTAAAGATGTATAATATAAAAATTATTACTATAATTTCATTTAATAATTTAAACTTTTAAATAGAATTGAATTTTGTAAGAATTGAAAAACGTCACTTCAACCCAAAATCCAAAATCTCAAGGTCAGTGAAACTTAATTAATTATTTTGTATATCTATAACACGGGTGTTTGACCGTACTGCCCCTTTTTCATAATAATATACTTAAATGTCATGAAATGGAAAAAAATTCTAAACTGACACGGTACTATAGTCGCTGAGCTACTTAGTTATTATGGACGGGACATGTGTCACTTCCCCGTGGCTGGAAAAGTCTTGCAGGCTTGGTTGGTTTGGTTGCCCACGTGTCAATGGAATGGCCAAATTTGCTTCCTTTTCCAGCGACTTTGATTCAATAGACCCAATTCAGAAAAAGTATAGTCGCAAATCAGTGGCACGCGTCCCTTTTAACCCAAAGTAGTTAAGTAGCTCAGCAATTATGGAGACCCATTTTTGTATATTATTATAAAAAAAGGGGCAGTATGGTCAAACACCCTTGTAACGCTCCTCTTCATACAAAAGTTCTTTGGACTAAAAGTGTGAGACCCATTTTTTTTTTGCTTAACTTGTGCTCTTTTTAATTTAACCTAGTGGGGGCGGGAGGAACCTCCTAGTCAGCTCTGATACATGATAATTACAACTTCAATCTAAAACCTAGAGGAATTAAGTGGTCACATATTAATTATTTTTTATCTTTTGTATCTATTTACTGAGAACAAGAATCAAATTGGAATTTCAAGAAACGGGTTTAGTTTGTATGTTTCCACATGCCATGAATTAATGTCGAGAAATAGAAGAGGCAGCTCGTCTGATTCGCCATCTTGTTCCTCTTGAGCTTGAATTCGTGACAGTATGTGGAACTCGGAGAAGCAAAGATGACCAAAAAGACTAATGGATCGCCGGTAAAAGGTAAAGTAGTGTGTTACGGTTTTTTATTTTATTATTTTGTTACTGTGAGTTATTGTATTTTGTTGATATAGTTGTTAGTTGTTGACTAAGTGTATGCAGTCGATAAAACCAGTTATTCTCCACTTTTTTTTTTTTTGGTATAAACATCCTCATTCAACCTCCTCCGGTCACCTTGTCATCGGAATATGGCCCGAAGGCTATTCCTCATTGGAACAGCGGATGTATTGAGCTTCGCTATCGAAGGAAGGATGAGACTAATCTCTCCTTCGAGGACAAAAACACATCCTCTAGCTCCCAAAGATTTTCCAAGATACTTTTCCATTTTAAGTTTTGTATTATGTATTCAAGTTGCTACTATGAATAAAAGAGGAGATTAGAAAATTTATCCATGCACTTATGCAAGAGGTCAGACTTTCTTAATAAAATTATAATTATATTTGAGGTCAGACTTTTTTAATAAAGCTAAATTTTCAATTTTTTTTGTTTATTTTGTCCGTAAGATAATGATAGTGATAAGTGATGTCATAATGGTGGTAATTAGCTATGGTGTAAATGGATCAAACTAGATTAGGTTTTGGCCTTAGTAGTTTAAGTTTATATAAAACATGTAGAGTATATTAGCTTATTAGCATATTAAATACTTGGGTTTATAGGTATAATCAGACTTATTATAAAAAAACGAAAAGCCTAATATGGCTTACAAGGTCTTCTAGGTTTACAAAATTGCAAACCAAACTAAAATAAAAAAGATGAAATTTTTCATTCATTAAACAGTATTTCATCAAGTGTCCAAATTATAAAAATTCTCAAACAGATTTTTTAATAGATTATAAATATCCTTAAATAATCTTATAATAACACATAAAAAAGTTTTTTCTAGAAGTTTTTTCTTTACTCCTGGCAGCCTTCAGCCCTTCATAAACGTATTATTGCCTAGGTTTTAAATGAGTTTTTCTAAAACTCTAAACTTGCTATATTTTTTACATAGACTAGGTCCAGTCCAACCTAAAATAGATCAGGTTGTGGGCCCTGATAAGTCGTTTAACTTTTTTTTTTGGGTATACTGACTCTAATTATCTCTTTGAGACAAGTTGGTCCCTTGAGTATTTCTACAAACTTCAACTCTTTGAATTGACTATGAGTCTAATATTGAATTGAGGCTTAGTCACAATTAAATCACATATTCCCTCCTCAAACTTGTATTTGATGAAAATTATTATCTCCTCACCTACTTAATCTATGTTACCAATTGAGGACACTCGTTGGGTAAAATAAACAATTTTTAACTAGTGTTTTTTTTTTTTTTTTTTTCAAGAAGCCAGAAATATTGATTTCAGAAAAAAAATATTTATTATTTTTAAAAAATTTAGTTTTTTATGTTAATATGCAAGCATAAATTTTTTTTAAAAGTCCATGCGCTGAATCATATATATAAGTCCGTCCATTCAAACCTGGATATTATTGGCAAAATTTGTCAGTTATAGTTTACATTCTGTATGTAACTTATGACCGTTATTTGGTAAAATTTGTCTGTTATAGTTTGCTTTCTTTATCTATTTCATTATCATTCCTTTTATAAATAAATTAATAATATTTAATTTACATCTTTGACTATCATCTAATTATATTAGCACATTATTAAATACTTTTTTCAGCAAATATATAAATAATTTTTATGGTATAATATCATTTAAATAGTTTGACCATTGAAAGTTAAATTCTTATAATAAAAATATAATAAATGACACGTTGACAAATCTACGACTATCCTCACCTACTTAATCTCTGTTACCAGTTGAGTATACATTCGTTGGGTAAAATAAATAATTTTTAACTAGTGTTTTTTTTCAAGAAGCCAGAAATATTGATTTCAGGAAAAAAATATATTTTTATTTTTAAAAAATTTAGTTTTTTATGTTAATATGCAAACATAATTTTTTTGAAAAAGTCCATGCACTGAATCATATATATAAGTCCATTCAAATCTTGACATTTAATTTAGATCTTTGACTATCATCTAATTATATTAGCACGTTATTAAATACTTTTTTCAGCAAATATATAAATAATTTTTATGATATAATATCATTTAAAATAGTTTGACCATTGAAAGTTAAATTCTTATAATAAAAATATAATAAATGACACATTGACAAATCTACGACTATCTTACCTACTTAATCTATGTTACCAACTGAGTATATTCGTTGGGTAAAATAAAAAAAATTTAACTAGTGCTTTTTTCAAGAAGCCAGAAATATTGATTTCAGAAAAAAAAATATTTTTATTTTTAATAATTTTAGTTTTTTATGTTAATATGCAAACATAATTTTTTTGAAAAAGTCCATGCATGCACTGAATCATATATATAATTCCATTCAAACCTTGACATTTAATTTAGATCTTTGACTATTATCTAATTATATTAGCACATTATTAAATACTTTTTTCAGCAAATATATAATTAATTTTTATGGTATAATATCATTTAAATAGTTTGACCATTGAAAGTTAAATTCTAATATTAAAAATATAATAAATGACATATTCACAAATCTCCTACTATTCTAGCTAGCCTCACCTACTTAATCTATGTTACCAGCTGAGTACATTCGTTGGGTAAAATAAATAATTTTTAACTAGTGCTTTTTTTCAAGAAGCTAGAAATATTGATTTCAGAAAAAAATATTTTTCTTTTTAAAATTTTAAGTTTTTTTTTTTTTTTGGTAAACAAATTTTTAGTTTTTTATGTTAATATGCAAACATAAATTTTTTGAAAAAGTCCATGCACTGAATCATATATATAAGTCCATTCAAACCTTGACATTTAATTTAGATCTTAATTTGACTATCATCTAATTATATTAGCACATTATTAAATACTTTTTTCAGCAAATATATAAATAATTTTTATGGAATAATATCATTTAAATAGTTTGACCATTGAAAGTTAAAACCATTGAAAGTTAAATTCTTATAATAAAAATATAATAAATGACACATTGAATGGTAATGAAACTTTTGATACGAACAATAAATTAAAATTAAGATCTTTAAAATATATATTTGACTAAAACGTTAATGAGATAAACCTTCCCATTAAAACAATGTGACGAAATTTAGACACCTTTTATTTACACCGAACAATATATAATTTGAATTTGCTTTATCATCATCTAACTTCCTTGATTTTCTTACAAACAATAAATCAAAATTCAGATCTTTAAAATATTATATATGACAAAAAAGTTAATTATACATATTTTTTCTATTAAAAGAAAACCATCCTTAATGAGGTATCTCAGGTTTCGTAACATTGCTCTTTTAATTTATTACTTTAGCTAACTTCAAAAGTAGAAATTTCAACATCAGATTCCCATATATATTTGATATGCTAAAAATTAATGACTAGTCAAATGTAATTATTAAGAAAATCTGGCTGCAAATGTAACATTCCAAATCTCATGTTTTTTTTCTAAATTCCAAATCCAATTTTTCAGCCTTGATCATCTATAAATCCACCTTTGTATTTTGGATGAAACGCACTCACATTCATAGCCAACACTGTGATGGATATTATGAAGCCATTTTTCTTGTTCCTCTCAATTCTAACCTTTGTGCAGTCTGTTCATAAGGCAGCTTCAAATTCATCGCCCCTTGAAAACTTTCTCCAGTGTCTTTCAAACCATTCCCTTCCTTCAAATCCTACATCTAATGCCATTTACACTCCAAACAACTCCTCCTTCTTATCTATCTTGCATATGCATACATATAATCACAGATTTTCTGCACCATCAGCACCAAAACCTCTGGCTATTGTAACTGCTCTGCATGAGTCTCATGTTCAGGGCACTGTTACATGTGCCAAGTATAATGGCTTGCAGATTAGAATCCGAAGTGGTGGCCATGATACTGAAGGGCTTTCATATGTATCAGACGTGCCTTTTATTATACTTGACATGTTTAATCTCAATTCAGTTGATGTGGACATAGCAAATGGGACAACATGGGTTCAAGCTGGAGCAACACTTGGTAAGGTTTACTATAACATTGCAGAGAAAAGCAAAGTCCATGGTTTCCCAGCTGGGGTATGCTCCACTTTGGGATCTGGTGGTCACTTTTCTGGTGGTGGCTATGGAAATCTGATGAGAAAATATGGTCTTTCTGTGGATAATATCATTGATGCACAATTAGTTGATGTCAATGGTAAAATCCTTGATAGAAAGTCAATGGGAGAAGATCTATTTTGGGCTATAAGAGGAGGTGGGGGGGCCAGTTTTGGTGTCATTCTTTCATGGAAGATCAAATTGGTTCAAGTAACTCCAATGGTGACCGTATTCAAAGTGAAAAAAACTGTGGAAGAAGGTGCTACGGATGTTGTTTACAAATGGCAACTAATTGCAACAGAACTACCTGAAGATCTTTACATAAGAGCTATGCCTGAAGTAGTCAATGGTACTCAAAGTGGTAAAAAGACCGTACAAGTCACTTTTATTGGCTTATTTTTGGGACAAAGTGATAAACTTTTGCCTTTGTTAAATGAGAGTTTCCCTGAACTGGGTTTGCTTCAAAGTGATTGCATTGAAATGCCATGGGTCAATTCCACTCTTTATTGGTACAGTTTCCCAATTGGAACCCCCATTGAAGCTTTGCTTGATGTCCCCAAAGAGCCAACTTCGAACAACTTCAAAACCATGTCAGACTATGTGAAAAAGCTCATTCCAAAGACTGCTTTAGCATCCATATGGGACTTTATGATTAGAAGTGAGAGTGTACGAATGGAATGGAATCCTTATGGAGGAAAGATGCATGAGATTTCACCATCAGAAACTCCATTCCCTCACAGAGCTGGGAACTTGTTCTTGATTGAGTACTTGACTTCTTGGGGGGAAGATGGGGTTGAGGCAAAGAGTCATTACTTGAACATTTCAAGTGCATTCTATCAATTTATGACCCCATATGTTTCAAACTCTCCAAGGGAGGCATTCCTCAATTATAGGGATCTTAATATAGGTGCCAATCTTCCAAGTAATGCAACGAGCATGGACATCGCTCGAATTTATGGGAGCAAGTATTTCCGAGGTAATTTCGAAAGATTAATGAGTGTGAAATTCAAGGTTGATCCTGAGAACTTCTTCAGAAATGAACAGAGTATACCACCTCATTCCCCTTAATTAGTTGGAAAATGAATGTTTATGTAAAGCTTAAGAGGGAAATTATTTTATCATACAATAGGAGACAGTTTACTCATGTTACCAAATATTGAAATTTGTACTATTCTTATTGTTTTTTCTTCCTTTTTTTTGTTTTTTTTTTTATAAATGGTGAGTTCCATCACTTGTTAAGTTATTATGTCTATGGCATGAAAGATAATACCTCATAAAAAATGAGAAAAGATAAGCCTGTTAATATAAATATAAAATAGGTTGAAAGTTGCGTTTATAGAAGAATATATGATTGTGAATCATGGTACTTATTATTTACAATGAGAAGAGAGGTATCTTTGAAATTTTGTAATCTAACGATTTTAATTTGTAAGTACATTATACATTTATAAAAATGATCTATTTCGATCTAACGGACATTAGGTGACGTGTCAAATTTTTATTTGACACCAGTAACCCACATACACACATATATATTTCTCAAGTCATTTGAAATAACTTTATCTTTGGCCATACAAAAATTATGTGAATTTGTTTATTTATTTCCTAATATTAATTGATTTACCTTTGAATGATTGTGATTTTCTTTTTCTCTCTCTTTCTTTAATATCATTAATCCATCTTTGTACGGTTATGATTTAGTTACCGAAGATAAAGTTATCTCAAGTGACTTGAGAAACGATAAGTCATATATATATATAGGGGTAGGATCCTTTGACACCAATGTCAAATTTCAAGGTTGACACCTCATCTGAAAGTCGTTAGATTAAAAAAATATAAATGATGTCATATACTTACAAATCAAGGTCATTGATCTATTTTGATCTAACGGCTCTCAGATATAGTGTCAAACGTGAAATTTGACACTGGTGACAAAGGATCCTACCTCACACACACAAACACATATATATATATGGGATAGATTATTCTACCTACTCTTATTTTGTCTACCTCTCCAAACACCGTTAGATTATAATCTCATCCAATGATGGAGATTTGCAGAATAAAATAAATCTTTTTTCCCTTCCTTTCTCCTCACTGCCTACCACACTCTTTATCTCTCGTCTCCTTTTTCTCTATCGATTTGCGTAATTTATATTTGAATCTAAATCCATACAATAATTAATAGTATGATAGTTCTGTTGGATGAGTATAATTTTCAAAATTTCTTGAATCTGATATAATTGAACACGGCAGAAACCACAAAAAAAAAAAATGAAAACCACGAATAATCCCTTCATTTGAATTAATCAACGATTACTGTAATATTTATACTTTGCGGTTGAAATTTGAAATCGAATCAACTTATCTCCTCCTTCTTATCTTGTTTTTCACCTTGAAGTGGAAAAGGATCTCTACTCTCTCTATTGTTACGCCCAACAACAGGCCTACCTGGTTCCATAACATAAGGAATTTGAGATTGTTTCTTCTTAACACCCCATTTAAATTTTATGTAAATGCTCATAACAATGGCTGGGTTGGATGAATTGAGAAAAAAACTTGCACTTCTTTTTATGCTAAAGCGCCGTTAAAAAGAGAGAAAGAGTGAGCGGCAGTGGGAAAGAGAAAAGGATAAAATAGTTTATTTTATATCATAAATCCCCACTGTTGAATTAGATTGTAATCTAACGATATTGAAAGGGGTAGGCAAACTAAAGGTAGACAGAATAACCTATATATATATTTATATATATATACGAAAGGGATCTTTTGACTCCGTTTTAAGACTTAGAAGTCTTACTCCCTATCCTAATTGTTAATTTTCGTTCATTCAACAGTTATAATTAATTGAGAGTAAGACTTCTAACCGGAGTTAAAAGATATCTCCTTATATATGTGTGTGTGTGTGTGTGTGTGTGTGTGTGTGTGCATGTATAAAGAACCAATTTAACCCAAAAGGGTCAGTTATGAACCAATTTAACCCAAAAGGGTTAGTTAGTCGGTGAGGTTACATTACTGGTTTTATATACATCTAATATGCCCCCTCACACGAGAGCCCACTGGGCTTGAAGGGTATACAATTCACAAGTTGAAGGGTATACAATGCACAGGCCCACCTACCTGCGCACAGAAATTTCACAAAAGAAAGTGGGGGTGGTGAGGATCGAACTCATGACATGAGGCTTTAATATCATTTAAAGAACCAATTCAACCCAAAAATTTAAAGAACCAATTCAACCCAAAAGTTTAAGCTATTGGGTGAGGCTACATTAATAATTATATATATATAGGGCTTATCATTTCTCAAGCTGCTGCAGATAACTTTATCTCCGGCTACTAAATCATAATCGTACAAAGATGGATCAATGGTGATAACGGAAGAGAGAGAAAAATAGAATCATAACCATTCAAAAGTGAATCAATTAATCTAAGGAAATAAATAAACAAAACGACGTAGTTTTAGGGTGGCCGGAAATAAACTTATCTCAAGTTGCCGGAGAAATATTTTTTCCGTATATATGTGTGTGTGTGTGTGTGTGTGTGTCGGGAGGGTTCTTTTGACTCCAGAGTAAGACTTTTACTCCTCATCTTAGTCGTTAATGGACATAAATCAATGGTTGTTATTTGTAATGTAATTAATAATTAATTAATTAATATTACTTCCTAAACTTTAATTGTTGGATGGACGGAAATCAAAGGTTGAGATGAGGAGTAAGACTTATAAGTCTTACTCTGAAGTCAAATGATCTCTCTCCTATATATATATATAGGGAAAAACATTTCTCCGGTAACTTGAGATAAGTTTATCTTCGGCCACCCTGAAACTACGTCATTTTGTTTATTTATTTCCTTATATTAATTGATTCACCTTTGAATGGTTATGATTCCCTTTTCTCTTTCTTCCTTCATTACCATTGATCCATCTTTGTACGGTTATGATTTATTAGCCGGAGATAAAATTATCTCCGGCAGCTTGAGAAATGATAAGCCTATATATATATATATATATATATATATATATATATATATATATATATATATATATATTATATATATATATATATATATATAGGAAGATTATATTTACAAACTTTTTGTTTATAAACTATACTATGTACTCCCGAAAGTACACTAGGTTATACTAAGGGTGTGCATGACAATCTTCTCGGAATCAATTCTTTTTTAATTTCTGTTCCCTGGAACAGAAACGGATAGGAAACTCGTTTGGTAAAATCGGTTTATTTTTTTGTTCCCGGGATGAACTGGTTTAATTTTTGTGCTGGGGAACAGAAAAAAGAATTAAAAAATTTCTGTTTTTTTGTTCCCGAGCACAGAATGAGAAACATTTATCTCTTTCAATCACTCTCCACCTCTACCATCAACACCACCACCACCATCATCCCGACATAACTGCCGTCACCATCATCGCTGCCGCCATCGTACCACTTGTAACAGCCCCAAACCCTGTAGCAGGATATTGTCCGCTTTGCCCCGCGCACAAGCACCGTCGAGCTCACGGTTTTACATTTCGGGTTACTCCCAAAAGGCCTCCTACAAGGAAAGGTATCTACACCCTTATATAAAGCATGCTTCGTTCCCCTCTCCAACCGATGTGGGACATTACACCACTAGTGTCGTCATCACCACCCCTCACCACCACGATGCCACCGCCATTATTACCACCACCTCCACCCATCAATACCACCATGCCACCGTCACCACCGCCACCATCACCGTCACCACTACCGCCACCAACCACCACCTCCATCATCGCAATCACTGCCATCACCGCCACCATTGCCATCACATGCCACTGCCACCACCCTCATCGCCATTACTACCACCACCACGACGCCACCACTACCATCACCTCCATTGTCACTAACCACCACTACCATTGCTGCAACCACTACCGTCACCACCACTGTCGCCGCCGCCGCCGCCGCTACCAACCACCACCACCATCCTCACAGTCATTACTGTCACCACCACCACCATCGCCACCATTACACCACCTCCGCCACTACCATCACCACGACATCGCCACCACTACCACCACCACCGCCACCATCACCACCCCCACTGTCACCTACCACCATCGCCGCAACCACTGCCACCACCACCACCATGATGCCCTCACAACCACCACCACCATGCCACTGCTACCATTGTTGCCGCCACCAACCACCACACCCACCACCATTGTCGCAGCCACTGCCGTCACCTCCACCACCACCATCCCCACCACTACCATCGCCGCTGCCACCATTACCACCACCATCGTCGCAGCCACTACAGTCACAACCACCACCACTACCGTACTGTCCCCGCCGCGGCCGCCGCACAACCACACCATATGGAAAGGAAAATGATGATCCGAAATTTTTTTATATTTAATAGGAATTATTTTTTATTATATTATTTGTTGTGTTATCAAACACAATTCTCATTCTTAGAATAAAAATAGAACATGTTATCAAACACATTTTTTTTTCTCAGAAACTGTTTCAAGGCACAGAAATAGAAAAGAATTGTTTCTTTTCAGAAACAGTGCTAAGGAATAGAATGGTTGTCATGCACACTCTAAGTACTTCCGGGAGTACATAGTGTAATTTGCAAAAATTTATTAAAAAAAATTGTAAAAATTTTATATATATTTCTCAAGTTGCTTGAGATATATTTATCTCCGTCTACCCAAAAACTATGTCGTTTTATTTATTTATTTTCTTATATTAATTGATTCACCTTTGAATGGTTATGACTCCTTTTTTTCTCTCTCTTCCTTTATCACCATTGATTCATCTTTATATGATTATGATTTAATAACAGGAAATAAAGTTATCTCAAACTACTATATATATAATGGGTTTTATAAGAGTTATGTTGTAGAAAAAGTGATTGTGTAATGTTATAGAGATTCGTTTTGCGTGCTGTAATTTCTTTTTTTCTTTTTTCTTCAAAAAATGTGGGCCCCACAAAATGTTGTATGTGTGTAAAAAAATTTGTTGTGTCATATTAAATGACAAATGCAAATCCCATATATAATTTTGATGGTCACTTATGCAAGTATATCTTAAGTACTCCCATCTTTTAGTAAATTTAATAAAAGGTAATAAAACCAACTTTCATTTTATCCATCATTTTATAGTTTTTAACACCTACATCCCACCTTTAGGGAAGAATATACTCTCGTAGTACAAAAAATATGCTCCTGGCTCGGACAATGAGTTAGAGGGAAAATAAACATGAAAGTCGATTTGGATGAATTAATTTTTTTTTCTTACAAAATTAGAAATAAAATAAGGGAAAAAGAATTCTTATGTTGTAGGAGAGCTCTCTTCTCATGTTAGTGAGAGTTCGTTTTGTGTGTAATAATTTTTTTTGTTTTATTTATTTTTTATGTGTGGGTCCCACCATGAATTTGAGTGTGTGGGAGATTTTCTCCTCTCCAATAACATGAGAAAAGCATTGCCCATAAAATAATATAGACATTTTTTTTTGTCTTTCATGGAAAGTGATTATGCTGAAAGTGTATATGGTCGGTCACAAATTTGGGTCATTGGATTAAAAGTTTGACTACAATTCAAGCAATCGAAATGAATAAAATAATTCTTAAAAATATTTTTATGAAAATAACTTCATATCAAAAATATTTATAAAATATTAAATAAATACATAGTATAAAAAAATACGTCAAATGAAAAAACCACTCTTTGATGTAATCAAATCAGTAGTAAAGATAGTTTATCGATTGGATAATGCAATGAAGTATAAAAAATAAAAAATATAGTTCAAGAGAGCACATGGTTTACTGATAGAGAATGCACTTTACCAAAGCAGTTGTATATCCAATATTCAAATTCAATAACACTAACTAATTAAAGGGAAACAATTTCATGTGAATTGATTCACATTTTTGGTGGTTTATTTTCTAAATAAAAATTATGAGAAATGAATCTTCTTATATAGATTTTACGTAAACGCATAAAATTAGATCTCCAGTTTTGACAAAACTCTTGTTTATTGGAGTTATAATATTTAACTAATGTTTCTTGGTACAATAATATTTTATTTTATAATTTCATTAAACAATTGAACAAAAAAAAATTAAATCGGCACTATAGAATTTTGGGGTAGTCACTTTTCAAATTTTACTTAACAACTACCCTAAAGCTCACAATTTATCTTACAATAATACATCTATTGACATTCTAACCAAAGACAAAACAAAACTGGCACAAAAAAATCACTTATTCATAAAAGATGTCAACATTTAGCTTGATTAAATTTTGCAATTCTAATATAATTTTAAGGTTAAAAATAACCAATTATAAAAACTTGTATGCAATTATATTATTTCAAATGTTATAAAATGAAACATTGTAAAAAAATATTTTAAAAAATGTATATTCTAAATGTAAACACATTTAAAATCAAGTAAAATTGAAATTAAAAAATAAATTAATTTAATTAGAGCAATAAATGATAATACTAATTGTGTAGTGATAATTTTGTCAGTGAAATTTTTGAATATAACGTACTAGGTAAACAGAGACAAACAGACTCATAATATTTTTTGAATTGAGGATTAAGGTTGTAGTTCATTAAAAAGAATATTGTTATTATCAAATGTTACACCATATCTTATGTTTTCCGCCAATCAACGGTTATCATTTATTATGAATTAATAATTAATTAATGAGTTTGATTTGTAAAAATAATAACGCAGAAATCAAAGGTTAAAATATGATAGTAACATTATTTGGTAATAACAATATCCTATCCCATATTTTATTTTATAAAAAATGTTGCTAATTGTAATTTATAAGTGAAGTCTTTTGAAGAGTTTATAAAAAAAAAAAAAAAAAAAGTCTTTTGAAGAATATAAAGTCAAAACTTATCCAAAAAATTCAAAACAAACGTTACTTTCAGGTTTATTAACTATATATTTAATATTATTTGCAGTTATTTCTGGCTAATTTTATTAATATAACAAATGATAATTATATAGACATGGAAAAATGCAAAGGACAACTAATGCCGCGTTTATCATTACGTTATTTTCTGGGAAACTGAAAGACTATGGAAGAATGACTAGAAACATAAAATAATAAAGAAGTATACTTATAAATTGTCAAACAAATTGATATTATTTATTTTTTAAAAAAATTAACACTGCATGTTTCAGTTTTCCAACTAATAGGTGGATCTAACAGGTATACTCTGTTCATATCTGAAGAAATTGTCAGGATCAACCCTGGATTTCACAGACACTAATCTATCAAAATTATCTTTAAAAAACTTGCTTCCATAAATTCGAGCTATGTCCATTCTTGTTGAATTACTTGGATGATTGCCACCGATATCAATATCCCTATAATTGAGGAATGCTTCCCTAGGTGAGTCCGAGACATATGGGGTCATAAATTCATAAAATGACCTCAAAAACTCCATTTTATGATCAGCATCCGCATCTTCAGTCCAAAATACCATATACTGAATCAAGAACAAGTTCCCTGCTCTATGAGGAAATGGAGTTGCTGATGGTGAAATCTCAGCCATCTTTCCTCCATAAGGATTCCATTGCATTAACATATTATCATCTTTAATCATCAATTTCCAAATGGATTCCAAAGCATCCTTTGGAATGGGCTTCTTCACATAATCTGACTTGCTTTTAGAATTGGAAGAACCAGGGTCCTTGGGCTTAGTTATCAAAGTTTCAATTGGTGTACCATTTGGAAGACCAACCCAATAAAGAGTGGAATTGACCCAAGGCATTTGAATGCAGTCACTTTGCTTCAAACCCAATTCAGGGAAACTCTCATTCACCAAAGGCAATAGCCTATCAATTTGTCCCAAGAATTGCCCAATGAAAGAAACTTCCACTGTCTTTTTATCACCTTTAGTGACCACTTGTGGCTGCACTCTTACGAAAAGATCTTCATGTAGTTTTGTTCCAATTTGTTGCCATTTGTAAACAACATCAGTTGCACCTTCTTCCACAGTTTTCTTCACAGTGAACACAGTCACTTGTGGAGGCACAGAAACCAATTTGATCTTCCATGAAAGAATGACACCAAAACTAGCCCCACCACCTCCTCTTATAGCCCAAAATAGATATTCTCCCATTGACTTTCTGTCAAGAATTTTACCGTTGGCATCAACCAATGTTGCATCAATGATATTATCCACAGAAAGACCATATTTTCTCATCAGATTCCCATAGCCACCACCAGAAAAGTGACCACCAGCACCCAGAGTAATGCATACCCCAGCTGGGAAAGCATGGACTTGGCTTTTCTGTGCAATTTGATAGTAAACTTGACCAAGTGTTGCTCCAGCTTGAACCAATGTTGTTCCATTTTCTATGTTCACATCAACTGAATTGAGATTAAACATGTCAAGCACAACAAATGGAACATCTGATATAAATGAAAAGCCTTCATAGTCATGGCCACCACTTCGGATTCTGATCTGAATGCCATGAGGCTTGGCACATATAACTGTTGCCTGGACATGACTTTCATCCATAGCAGTTATAATAGCCAGAGGTTTTGGTCTTGTTGCTGTTTTGAACCTCTTGTTCTGTATATGCATATTCAAGATAGATGAGAAAGAAGGGTTGTCTGGAGTGTAAATGGCTTTAGAGATTGGGTTTGAAGATTGAGAATGGTTTGGAAGACAAGAGAGAAAATTTTCAAGGGGTGATTGTGAATATGCCTGTAAAACAGACAGGACTATGGTTAGAGTTGTGAGGAGTAAAGACATTGCTCTGAACGTTTCCATGGTAGTGTGGTATACCTATGTGACTTTGCTGTGTTGATGTTAGTGCATTGCATTCTATATATACTGTACCTCTTGTCTTGTTATGGAAATATCTAACATACAGAACGCGCATATTGTAGAAGGCTCAAGGACAATAGAAAAAAGAAATTAAGGTTAAAAAAAAAAAAACATCAATCAAGGATATTAATTGTATGGACATTCTTTCTCTTATATTTTCTGTGCACACACATCACAACTTTTTTGGCAAATGTCTTTATTATTAATGTACAATAATCTGCTACTCTCAAAATTATCTAATCCGTAAATACTGTTATATTTACTATCCACATATATCACTATTTTTTTTTTTTTTTTTTGCAAATATCGTTATTATTAGTGTACATACATCACTACTTTTTTGGTAAATGTCGTTATTATTAGTGTACAATAATCTGCTGTCCTTAAAATCATCTAATCTATAAATACTTGAGAGAGAGATTAGATCTAATATAAACTTAGTAATCTCTAACTAGATGCCTCTGTCCCTCCTATTTTTTCTTATACGAGGATCTTCACATTTTAATTTTCCAAAAAAAAAAACTTAATATTCTTTATGACAAAGTAAAACTCTTATAAAATATTTAATAAAGAAAGAAAAATGTTAAAGTCAATTATTTCAATGAAGAGAGAGATAGCATTAAATGAAAAAATATATATAAAATAAACATATTGATTAACTTTTTTTTTTCTTTTTTAGATTTGAAATTAAAGTCAACGCTAGTTAGGTTTTTAAAAATTTGAAATACCAATATAATAATATTATTTGATTATTAACATTTCATTGAAGATCATCTCGTATTTATTCATGATCCAGTCAACCTCAATTAACAAGGGAAGTAGATTATAAATTACCTCATATCTTTATTGAGAAAGAATGTCGTATAGCTAATTGAGAAATAATTTGATATATTTTATTACCAGAGATATATGTTACCTTGTTAAAAAAAGGAAAAAAATAAGAAGCAACGTTTCTTTTGAATTTTTTGAAATGAATTTTGACTTTATATTTTTCAAAAGACTTTAATAGTATATTTCAGTCGTTTCTTCTTAATGACTGCAACCGTAATTCCTCAGTTTCAATTTGATATTAAGACTCAGTCTCCGTCTAGCTAATGGGATATAATAAAAAAAATTTAATGACAAATTTATTACTGCATAATGGTTACTATCATTTATTGCTCAAATCAATTAATTATGAATATATAACTTTATTGTAACAGTAAAATGAATATAATTGACTTTTTATGAATATATTAATTTCAATAACAGTATTTAAATCTTATCAAAGATCGTCATGTACTCATTCATGATCTAACCTCATATATTAAAAAATAAATTAATTCCGAGAATTTACTTATGTGATAATATTAGACCAAGACAAATGAATATGAAAAAGAACATAGATTCAAATTATGCCGAGACCAGATTCACCAGGTTAGAATTAATTAAAAAAACAAAATAATAAATTATGAATTACTTCACATTTTTAAAAAACTCATATTTTTAATAATTAAAAGTACTTAAGTGTTAGATATTAAATATGTAATTTAATATAATATATAATATTATTGCATAATATAAGTTTTTTATGTACGAATATCATGCGATATATTATTTCTAGGATTACTTTTTTCTTAAAAAAAATACATATTTCAGAATTTTTTTCTTTTATAAGTATCAACTTTTCTCCTCTTTTAAATTGAATAGTCATAAATTTTAAGATTTTATCTAAAATTTTCATGTAGTCCTATAAAGTCACGGGATGCATAGTAGCAATTTAAATGAGTCGTCATTGACATTTAGAGTTGTAAAGCAAAAGAAAAAAAATTACATATATAAACAATGGCGGACGTATATACGTGCAAGTGTATGCAATTGCACACATAAATTTTTTAGAAAATAAAAAGAATAAAATATATTTTGAGTCATCAACAAAAATTATGGGACCAATTTAATCTCTTAAAAAAAAAGTCATCTCGTGATTTCTCTAAATTTCAAAATTGACCCATATTAGTCCTTTTGAAGGACTAATGTGGGTCTTTTTGAATTTCAGAAGGATCACGAGACGACTTTGTTTTTCTAAGGGATTAAATTAGGGTTCATAATTTTTGTTGAGGACCCAAAATGTTCTATTGTAATAGTTTAGTTGACTCTTGATTACTTTTTTTTATGTTAAGTTAAAATTTTCTTTTTTTTTCTGTTTATATTCTTTTGTATTTTAATAATTTAAAAAAAATTTCCTTTATTCTTTTATTTTAAGTGTGCAGACATAAATAAAAAATTTTAGGTCCGCTATTGTATATAAATATTATTCATATAAAAATAAACTAAATGTAACATACATTAATCTCATACAAAAAGGATAATATAACTTTCCAGCATGAAAAAAATGACAACATAGTTTGAATATCTTTCATAAGAGTATAACGCAAATACCTTTATACTAATATGAAACAATTATTGCATGTTTTTTACCAGAGTATTTCATAATAAAGTCTCATTAATTGAGGAAGAATACAAGGCCGTATGGATGGATTTTTATTCTCTAAAAAATTGTCTTTTTTAAAATGAATATGCTTTTCATTTTATGTATGTGTTTGGACGTAATTTTGAAAAAAGCTAAAGTTAGATAAAAAGCCAAAATCATGTTTTTTTTTTAAGCCAAGATTTCTTATTTTTTTAAAATAAAATCAAAACTCTGATTTTTATTTAAAGTACTTTTTTAATATAAATCTTAATGCAAAATAGCTCTGGATTACAAAAAGATTTTTTAACAAATATGGTGAATAAAAGGTGTTTTGTTCATCCAAAAATGCCCATAATATATATTATTACTAGAGAAACTCATTTATTTGTTAGGAAAGAAACAACAAAGTAACGTTTCTTTTGAATTTTCCAGAACACATTTTGACTTTGTAGTTTACCAAAGACTTTGATATAAATTTCAGTTAATACGTTGAAAAAGGAAAAAACAAATTTAATTGATAATATAAAATAGGGTTCGCTTTTTCTGCAGTTACTGCAGATAAGTTATCTGCAGTAAGCTCAATACGACGTCATTTTGGGACAGAAATCATGGTGTTTTTATAATTTGAATTTATTTTAGGGTTATAAAAGCCTTTATACTTATAATTTTTTAAGATTTCAATACCAAAATGACGTCGTTTTGGGAATAAATGCAGATAACTTATCTGCATTAACTGCAGAAATATTTTCCCCTATAAAATAGTTTATACTAGTTCAAACCTCGCTAATCGATGTGAGGACTTTGTTGGTGGGTGTTATGTAATCTCTCCTGAAAATTCTTAAAGAAGTTGGGGGACTTTTCTGACCCTGACCTGGTGTGGGATATCGGTATCTAATCTCACTTAATTTTTTCTAAAAAAAAATTACTATATATTAAGATCGGATTTAAATTCAATATAAATTCCAATATATACTGCTCAAAAAATTGTTGAATAATTAATATCTATACTACTTGATCTTAAATATGTTATTTAGCATGTAAATGTTGTTTAATAATGTTTTAAAACATTTTATTTTATAATATTTGAGATAATATAATTTCATACGATTTTTTTATAAATGGCCAATTATTTAACCTAAAAACCTATATCAAATTGTTAAAATTAAGTCAAATTATATGTTGATATTTATTATAGACAGATGGACTGGGCCTCGTGAAAGACTCATTTCTCACTTTCACTATAGAACAAAATATTCACATCAACTAATATTTTTGTTTCTCTCCTAATATCAACTCCCCATGATTTGCAACATGATTTTCCCACGTATGACTCACGCACTTACCTACAGAATTATTAATACCATCTACGAGCTCATTTTGGGTGCACTGAAAGTACCAACTCTTTTACCCAAAAAGAAAAAATATGATATAGGGGTAGAAATAATCATAAAAATATAGGTAATATAAAAAGAGTTGAGTTATATTGACAAATTTTTTTTTTTAACAAATTTACAAACTACATTATATCTGACCGGTAATACTTTACTCAAGAGTGTATTACTGATCAGACATAATATAATTTGTAAGAGTTTGTAAATAAAAAATTTGTAAATATAACATTTATCGTATAAAAATATTTCTTTTTGTTATATTTATAAGTAGATGATCTACTAAGTATTTGATACAATGGGAGTGTCAAAAATATTTTCCACATGCACAAATATTCTGGGAATATTACACTTCCTCCTATGTATTATGTATACCATGTCATGACTCGCTAGAAAAGATGTTTGACCACTCTACGTACTATTAATTGCACTCGGGCATATTCCCACACTTAGCACTTGGCAAGTGAGATACATCATGCTTTCTCCATTGTACATGCGGTAAAATCCATCACACTCTCCCTAAACCGATCATTGAAGAGTCATGGTTTATTTTGTGCCAGTCACTCATGCTCGGTTAACACACAGACCGATCAATCTCTCATCCTGGAGCATCCCCACGTACACCTATACTCCCATACAATGTTCAATATCATAAACGTCGATATCTTTTTTTTCTTTTGGAGATGAAAAAAAAATTAAACTTTTTGTGGTCCATCCATTATTTTTTTTCTCTCCTTGTATTTTTCCTCTCTCCCAAAATGTAGTCTATGCAATTGCAAATTTTTTTCCTGTAACAGCACCAATGCATTCCCCTTTTTTGAAATAGAAAACGACAGGGTAATTTGAACATCTCCACAAAAAACATAAGGAGAAGTTATATTTATTATCTTTTTTTCTTATAATCTCTTACTACCAAATCTTAATTGTTTATTTTTGTCAATCTAATGGTTATAATTTATTTATAATTAATAATTAATTAATAAGTATGACCCAATAAATTACAACCGTTAGATTGACGGAAATCAACAGTTAAGATTTAGTAGTAAGAGGTAGTAATTATAACCTCTCCAAAAACATAATGTAATTATTTTTATCTTTCTTAGCAA